GTGCGTGCGTGTGTGTGTGTGTGTGTGGAAGGTGACAGGGTTTTATTTAGTGTCATGTGATCTCTTCATTACGAACAGACGCTGCATCTTTTTTTATTTTTTTAGATTATTTGTATCTTGATCATCTGATGGTTTCCAGCTTTGTCAACATGTTTTGTCTTTATTGTGTTTCCATGGAGACGTGCTGTGAGTGTCAGGCGCTGGTACTGACTGATGAGGACGACCAGCAGCAGACTGGTGGGGTCCAGCTCGATGTCCGGGTTACTGAACGTGTCACAGAACGTTGTGTAGATGATCATGAGGAGGACGGCGCTGCTGACGGCGCCGAACGGAGGCTTCTTCCTCTCCAGAAACTCCCTGAGGAACCTCCGACACACCTGAACACACACACACACACACACACACACACACACACACACACACACACACATCAGAGAGACGTTCACACCGAGACCAACACTGTACCACTAACTACAACCCAGAACACACACACACACACACACTCTTACCTGACCCAGGATCAGCGGAACCACGACCGTCATGAAGAGCTGGGAGAAGATGGAGGAGAAGGGAACGGAGGATGAGGAGCCAAGCTGAAGGAGGAAGAGGAGAAGACAGAGAACGACATCATCACTTAAAACAATTTGTCGATTGGCTAATAAAACTCTGTCGTATCAGTGTTTGTTTGCTGATATGAAAACTTATAATTTACAGAATAAACCAAACAGAAAACGTGGATTTATCTTTATATAATACACAAAACAAATGTTTCCCTTCATCTTTATTTATTGGTTTTTATTTTTCCTGAGGTCGAACTTACGAAGAGCAGCAGCAGCACTGGAGTCACGACGATTCCCTGCAGAACGAAACCACACAGTCACATCCTGAACTTAACATTCGTTCATTCATAATTCACAGTCCGACCCTGAAAACATCTCACCAAGAAGCTCCCGAACGCTGAGTTGAAGATGGCAGCGGCCTGGAGACACACACACACACAATCAGTTACCACGTCAACACGCCGCTCATTGTTCCTCAGCATCACACCATCCATCAAACACTGGAGGACAATAACCTGCGAACATGTGAGCGTGTTACCTCGTTGCCTCCGACCGCCTTGGTGAGAATAACGGCGGATGACACCGGAGGGGGCATGCAGCTCACCGTCTGTAACCTAGGCAACCACCACAGCAGGATGAAGAGGAGGACGAGCACGGAAAAGAGAAAGGCGAGGAACAATCATTTCCCCCCCCCGTCGTTCAAAAGGTCAAAGGTGAGACACATTTACGATGATGTAATCACATTAGACAAGTGATCATAGAGAGTTCACCTCCCATTGCGGAGGGACCTTTTCAAAATAAAATGCGGTTTACACACAGTGGGATGATTGGACATCAAATGTAACTTTTGAATCATCAGCTGGTTCCTCCTGTCTCATTATGTTTGATGTCAAAGTGCCCCCATGTGGTGAGGAGGGGGAAAGGCAGCTTTCATTGACTATTTTGCTCACACACACACACACACACACACACACACACACACACACAGAGCACTGCCTGTAGTAGCAGTGAATGTGGGTCTTTCAGTCTGTAAATAACTCGCCCTTCAGGTACAGTGAGGGAGGAACGTGAACAAAGGACGGCATTCACACACACACTCCTCCTACCCTCTGAGCAGCCATTGGTCAATGGAAGTGAGCGCCAGCACTCTGAGCAGCAGCCACATGGCCAGTGGGAAGAAGACCAGCGTGAACGACTGAACGAAGAGGTGGAGGCGGACGTGAAGCAGAGCACTTGTCAACTCCTGCAGAGACAGAAAAAAAAAAATCACTCTGTCAGACTTTTATTACTCACGTGACACACGAGAGAAGGTTGGAGCTGATGTCAGTCTCTGTCCCACCTCCGTTTTCAGCGACAGGCCACTGTTAAAGAAGATGAGTGAGACGGCGACGTAGGCGATGGTGACCTCTGGCTTCAGTGGACCTGAGAGAGAGAGAGAGAGAGAGAGAGAGAACAGAAAACGAGTTTATTCAAATGTGACCTCCATCATCATTTTGACATATTAACAGCAAATGGGGATTTCATCATAACACTGTGATGTAGATGTAGAGCTGCGACAATTAATCGATTAACTGATCAGTAAATTCATCGCCATCTATTTGGATGAAACAAATACTCAACTAATAAAGAAAATGATTGTTGATCGCTGCCCTAATGTAAAATAAACAACACTAACAATAATGTTGAAAACTTTGTTTCTGTCTCGTGAAGAAGATTTGAACTGTTTGAACTGAAGCAGCTGTGTCTTCTGGAGGTTAAAGCTGCAGGTTCCACAGAGCACCTGAAGGCAGCACCGACAGTAGCAGGGTTTATCTAATCTACAGGTCGACATGTGAAGGTGTGAGCGAGGAAACTTATCAGTTTAGGTCACGACCCGAAAATGTCGATTTATCTTTTATTGCTTTCGCTTTTTCTTCTTCAAACCAAGAAACAATAAATCCAGAGAAATGGAAATAAACCCTGAATCTGACAGGAAGCCGGTGAAGAGCTGGTTCAGGATGAAGAGTGTGGTTTAGAGTCAGAGCGTCACACGGAGGCTGTTCAAATCAATTATCTCTAATTGAATTATTAATCAACAACCTCACACCTACTGCACCGCCTCAGGTGAGCGGGTGACAGGAGGGTGTGTTTACATTGGTGCTGCTGAATGCAACGTGTCACACACACGCACGCGCGCGCACACACACACACACAAATAACAATGAGGTTTAATAACGAACTACCATTTAAAACTTCCAACGTTTTACAGTTTTTTACCTTTTACACGAACATGAACGTTCAGTGTGTCGTTAATGTTTACACAGTCTTCGACGTTAGGATCCAGCCTTTAATTCGGCATCACTCACGCACACGAGATGACGCGTGTTCGCCCTGCTGAAGATAAATTCCCACACACTTCCTCGTGTCCGTGGACAGAAACTTTGTCGAAGTTTATTATTATTATCCAGTAAAACGCAGATTTAATAATCGTTCACCGGCCGGTTCAGTTCGATCTACAAATACACGTGATGAACTCCGGACACTTTAACTCCCTGGTGAACTTCCTGAGCTCCGGTTCTCTAACTCCGACCCTCTCACCTCCTCTCACGCCGAAGCTCGGCTGCAGTTTGGCGGATAAGATGACCAACACGATCCCGATGATGAACCATTCTTTCCGGACCCTCGCCAGAAGGCCCATGTTTCAGCCCCCGGGCTCCAGCTGATCACCCCGGCGTCCCCCGTCACTCCAGCCGGACCCGAGGCTCCGCAGCTCCGCCAGTTTCTCCTCCTGCTCCGGAGGAAAACACCAGCTGGTCACGGAGAGCTGCTTCCGGTCACATGGGCCGCAGCTCCATCGTAACGACTGGAGCAGAGGCGCAGTAGATATCCAGTTACCGTAATGTAGGTAAAACAACACAGGTACAAAATATATCCTTGTCTTTATAAAATAAGTTTCTCTCTTTTTTTAAAAAATTCAACAAAACCATGACAAACAGTTTAATCTTTTGTAAAACTCACCTCTTCAGATCTGATTTAAACTTTTAATGATGTTATATTTTTATCTTAAGTGAATCTTTCTTTTAAAAAAGTGTCTTTGAGTGTGTTGACAAGTGCTTCACAGATTAAATGTATTATTATATTAAATTAGCTAGTTTGACATTTTTAAAACCCAAAACAATCATAGAAATTACAAAGAGAGAAAGGTATTTGCAAATATGTGCATGCTTGTTCTATCATCTGCCTATTACTGTTGTGAGAAAATAAACCAAATAAAAAATAAATTGGAACAGCGAATACAATTATTTTTTAACATTGGCACTATCACAGAAATAATAAAAAAACAAAAAGTTGAATACGGTGGTTAATAGTTAAAAACAATGATGATAATGTTGAATAAAACCCAGGACTGTAGAACTTTGTCAATTAAAAATGTGAAATAAAAACAATTACATTCATTGTCTTACAAAAATGCCAACTGATAGATATATAAAATCAACATTACTATTTTTCTTTTGTGGGAGTAATAGTCTGAAGGATTCATCGTCTGGGGAACAAACATCCAGAGGATGTTGAGATTTTCCTGGTGGAGGAAACCAGGGAGAAAGTGTACTTGAACTGAAATGTGACTTAACATAATTCGTCTGTGAGTTTGTTTTCTCCCAGCATCTTGCTTTAGTCTCGACAGATTGGCCGAGATCAGCTCCGATTGTTGGTGTGAATGAGATTTCGGTAAAGTAAAATGTTCCTCTTCATTTCTTACGCTGTTAAAGGAATAAAGAATCGTTATCGAGCTCTTGACTTTCTTTCATCTCTTTCCAGGCCAGGAGCCGTCACTGGGCTGCGGGCGAGGCCGACTCCACGTCAGCACTGTACTTCCTGGACTGAGCACGAGCGCAGCCCAACAAAACCTAAGGCAGGAGACGGAAGAAAAACCGGTGTGAATATGCATGAGGATGTTTGCTGGGTAACAGATGTTGGATAACCAGCTTTATTATATTGTCACACCTTCCTGGTTGCTATGGAGGTTTGAATCTTTTGTTTAAACTTGCAACAACCAAACAAAGAAGTGGACGGGTATGAAAACATGATCTCAGGTGATAAACATGCACCTGTGCTTTCTGCAGGTCTCTGATGTCACAGGCATTTTCAAAACCCTGGAGGAAGAACTCACAGGCTCTGCTATACTGACGCTGTGAGAGAGAGAGAGTGACAGAGAGAAAGCATAATGCAAACAATTAAACATGTGTGTGTGTGTGTGTGTGTGTGTGTGTGTGTGTGTGTGTGTGTGTGTGTGTGTGTTTTATACCGTGCTGTAGTAGATGTTGCCCAGACACAGACAGGCGTCTGCCAGGTTGTCCTGCCGTCCAGAGCTTCGAGTGATGTCAACCAACTTCTCCAGATATCGGACTGTCTCGTCTGTGTTACCCTCACTGACACACACACACACACACACACACACTTGAACATACATCAGTGTGACAGAAACCATCTTTGAAAAACATTTACCTAACGTCAACCTGTACTGCAGGGAGCAAATGAGATGACTATGTACAGTACAAGCAGTGCAATATGTACACACTGAGTGAGTCGGTGTGTGTATGTGTGTGTGTGTGTGTGTGTGTGTGTGTGTGTGTGTGTGTGTGTGTACCTCTCCATAGACTTGGCGATAGCCTTGTAGGCTTTTCCCAGACCGTCAGCGTCCTGCATTGTGCCACAAATCTGCATGCAGGTGTTGAAGAACTGGACAAACAGTTTTATAACTTAATTCAACAACAATCAGATCCATTTTCAATGATGATGATGATGAGCTCTGCTTTTGCTTACAGTCATTAAACTACAGGATTATCAAACTGCAAATGAAAATATCCTCTGAACAAAATACAGAAGCCAGAAATGACTCAGTCCACTGAGCCACACACACACACACACACACACACACACCTTTTTAGCTGTGTTGTGGTCTCCTGTGAGCTGATAGGTCAGTCCCAGTCGATAGGCCGCCTCCCCCTCAAGCTGTTTGTCTTCAGCTGAAACAAACACAGGAAACGACATCATTTTTAACTTCCCACAACATCCATCTTTGAGTTTGTGTTTCTCATGTGAAGCAGCAGCAGATTGTTCAGGTCAGACTCGTTCACAACAACAGGAACATGTGGGGAACATTCAGGCGAGGGGCGGAGCCTGTAGAGCAGCAGGAGGCGGGACATGATGTGTTTTTGTTTACAGCTCATCCACACCGGCGTCGGCCCTCATCACCAAAAGCTCTGGAATCTCCTCGTCTTTCCAAGTTGACGTCTTCTTCTTCTACGTGTACGGCTCCTCCTCTTCATCCTGAGATATTTGGATTCTTCGAGTTTCACGTCACGTGTTAGAAACCTCACCAACACGTTCACTCGCTCACTGTGAATGTTCCAGACATTTTCCTGCCGTTTTCTCACATGGACTCACTCTGACATTTTACTAGGAGGCTGCCACCTGCTGTATTTCAACATGTATTCACTTCTCTACGTTCACACTCACACCTACACTCAGTGGCCATGATGTAGCCCCTGTGGAGCAGCTCCAGGGCTTCACTGTAGTCTGCAGCGATCAGCGGAGCAGCAGCTAACTTGTCGTAGATCTTCCACAGCGCCTGATAGGCCCGGAGCCTCAGGGGCCGACCGCTCAAGTCCAGCCATCCACCGTCATCAGCCTGTCTGAGGCACAGCTCCGCCTGCTGCTTCGCCTCCTCCAGCTCTCCTGCAGGAGCGAGAGGATCTGAATTACATTTGTTCTGAAGTGTGTGTGTGTGTGTGTGTGTGTGTGTGTGTACCTTGCTGCAAGTAGAGCTCAGCCATGCAGGCCCGGGCCTCAGTGGCTGGTCTTGAGCGCCCTCTTTCTGCACAGCTGCGATAGAAGTGCAAACTCAGCCACAGATCCTCAGGAGCCGAGAAATATCGACCCAAGAACAGACGCTGCTCACACACCACGGACCAGGAACCTACACACACACACACACGTCATTCATCTTGCAGTGAACATGTGTGTAGTGGCATTTTAATAAAGAATATGTAGATAATACATCTTTAAATTGAAAATGTGTATGTGATAGTACCAGTCCTTTCCGCCTGCTCAGCCCGGCTCAGGTGAAGCCTCACAGTCTCCAGCTTCTCTCGCTGTTCCTCCAGCGGAGCCTGAAGCTGGAGGGCAGAGTCCGGTTCAGCCGCCCGGCGATGCTGGTCCGACCGCAGCAGAGAAAAGAGCTCAGAGAACGACCTGAGAGAGAGAGAGAGACAGAGAGAGAGAGCTGCAGCTGAAACAACAACATTTCTCCTCAAGAATTTGAATTGAAGAGCTCCCTCTTGAGTTTAAGTGTTGTGTTGATTTACCTGTGGTGACCTTCTTGGAGCATCTGCACACAGATGTTCTGTTTCAGACTGTTTCTGAACCTGCAGAAGTTAAAATGTGACACAGATGAGAACAAAATATCACAGCATCACAGACAAACACCAATAAAGTGACAGTAAAACCAACGTCTGCAGAGTCCTGATGTTTTCTTTCAGCAGGACAGGGAGTGCTCATCTTTCTGTAGGAGACTCTCAGACCCCCGACATCACAGGAAATCACCCTGACCACTAAAAATTAACAACAAACCTGTAAATTGCCGCAGAACTTACTGAGCAATTTCTTCTTTGGAGGCGACTTGAGCAGATTCATCCGATACCGACTCCTTCATACTGCTGACCACACACACACACACACACACACACACACACACACACACACCAGACTTTAAGGCATGAGTGTCTGTGCTGTTTGCATGTTATTTCCTGTCAACACATAAACACACCTGTGCTGAGTCCTTCTGATGGTCAGCCGGCGTCTCGCAGCAGCGTTCATCTTCACCTGTCAATCAAACTAATGGAGACAGACACCTGCTTTAGTGCTTGTGTTTGATTTCTCACGTTTAATAACCAAGATGGCGGCATTTCACAAAAACCTCCCAACCTTTCATTTGCAGGTTGTGTTTTGTCTTTGTTATTTTTCTGAGTAATACAGTTTTGCATTCAAATAGAAAATAAAGTAAAAGTTACTTTAGCTGCAGGTAAACAATGAGCACAACTGTTCTCCTGCAGGTCTGACATGATCTGTTTCCAAGAGATCCGGTCGAAAACCTAGCTAAAGCTAAAGCCTAGCTAAAACCTAGCTAAAGCTACAGCTAAAGCTAAAGCTTGGCTAAAGTGATCAAACGCTTCTATAACTCACCTCATTCAAACGTCACAGTCTCGTCGTCGCTTCGCTAAAACAGTTCGGACGCGTGTCTTTTCCTTTACGTTCAGTTTAAAGTCGTAAACAAAGAAGCAACAGAAACTTTGCAGCAGCTGAAACAAACCAAACCCTGTCCGGTGTCCGACGGGCTTCACCGTCACCATGGCAACGGTACACAGATATTCCCTTTGACAGTTAATAAAAGTTTAATTATTAATTATTAATTATTCTACAGTTTGTCAAGGTTGCTGCACATTTCACGTCTCACATGCTGTTTACAACCATTCCTCGCTTTTATTAAATTCTACATGTTCAGTTTTTATTTTCTAGTAGTTTCATGTTGAATGTTCAGCATTCGATCGATGGTCATGTTCAAATGTAAAAGTTGTTCCTCACTTTCATCGGTTCACACCTTTGAAAAAGATTTGTCTTGATTTTCCACAGAGGAAAGATATTTAAATCAATAACAATAATAATCAAGCGTCTGCATGAGAACTGAGATGTCCTGCTGGTGTAGCTCATGTTCCTCTTCAGATGCTGGAGGAGTCTTTTTCCATCTCACCACAGCAGCGACGGAAACTTTGTGGTGATGGAATCAAAGAGTTTCTAATAAAGTTCCATGTTCATGGTGGAAATCTGCAGCAGCTGCTGTTTCCTGTCTGAGAATCTGCTTCTGATGTGACTCGTTTGTTCTTCGGCTTCATTTGTTTCAACCAGAGTCGCTCACTAACAGAAACCGTGTCTTCATTTTCTTCCACTTGCGGCGACAAACAACATAAAGTGACGCTTTAAAGTGTTTCACTAATATTTACACGTACATTTATCTTTTTCATCTCTGTAATTAAGTCAGGAAACAGTCAAATAAATGTAAGTTCAGTAACAAAATGACCTTATTTCCCTTTTCTTTGTCTCTGCTGACACCAGTTTTAATGTGACAGTAACACGAACTGACAATACAGAAGATAAAGCGATTCAAACATTACTTTATTGCTTCTGTTTCAAATTGTATTCAATTCAATCTACAATGTTTTTATCCCCTTGTTTATCTTGTGAAGTCTTCATTTTTATTATATCTTTTGAAATCTATTCAATGGTATTTTATTGTCAGCGTTTTTATTTGTTTCGTGTTTTCTGCTTTCGTCTGTTTATGGTGACAAACTTTGAATTGTTGTTTTTGTTTGTTGTTTTCCCACGTTTGGATTTTTTTCCCACAGTGTTGGAGGAAAACTTAAACATTTCACTGAAGTAAAAGTAAAAATCCTGCGTGGTTCAAGTCACGTAGAGTCTTCATTTGTTTATCTCTGTGTTTAATGCCACTAACAACACACACACACACACACAGCAGTATATCTTTAGTAAAAGTCAGTCACTCAATCAGACGTGACGTCTCACAACAACACACTTATACAGATGTGTAAACATAACACAGACACAGCCCTCTCAGGAAGGAGCGGCTGAGTCGCTGTCAGATGTTTAAACCTCAGTCACGTATCCTGAAGAAGAATCTCACTCTGACATTCAGACCCGCAGCTCATTTATCCATTTAACCTGATTACCATCTGAAGCCAGAGAAAAGCCACAGACACTAGGATCGAGCACATGTTCAAAAATGATCAAAACATTGTGAAAACCTTTCTTACATGAAATAAAAATGAATATTAACAACACAACGTCCCTGTGGCGTCTGAGACGTGTTTGAAACTCCTCACAACAGATTCAATTCCTCGTTGTTTCAATCAGGAACATGTTGCAGTAAAAAGACTTCAGACACCAACGTGAAACTCTCGGAGTAATAAACCGAGTCTGGTTTCACTTTGTGTTCAAACACTGCAGTGAAGTGAATTTGTCGTTCAGACGCAGGAACAAATTTTATTGTTTGACTGTTTCCACAACATTGTTTCATCAGGGAACTCTAAAAGGGAAAATTGGTTTGAAACGCGTCTTGGTTTCAATTACTGTGCGTGTGTGTTATTCAAAGTTTAACGTCACTTCATGTGTTTATTAGTTGTTCCACAGTAACAGATTGAAACAGGAGATGATTCGTAAACTGTGGAGACATTTTCTTCAAACGTCTGCGTCATTTTCAAAATCTAAACTAAATATTTGTAGTTTCACATTTTGTCAAGTTTACTTTTCGATGGACGCACATTTCTGCCAGAGGAAGAAAAGAAAATCACCCCAAA